AGGCACATGCCTGCACATATGCATAGATTTATATTCTAGTGCTCACACACAAATTGAAAAGAGTTGGTAAATAATAATCAGCATAACCAGGTTAGCTTTCCAAGTAGAACACCTGTGCCAGACCTCTAATCCTAAAGATTAAAATAAAAGAATTAAATTTTTTTTTCAGTTTCTTATTCACTAGTCCTCGAGAATACAGGTTTCTAAAAAGTTCTAAGTTCCATATCTAAAGTGGGAAAAGCAGAGGCTGCCTTAGGAATATGATCCATGAAGCAGAGAGGCAAAGAGCTCCACGGCTCCTGCCCCGTCAGGTTACAAAGCCAGAAGGCAATCATTCAGGCCCACCAGCCTGAGGCATATGTCTCTGCCTCAACGTTCTGGGCCTTCTGTCAAATAAAATGCATTTGGAGGAGGAAAAGAGAGTGGTCCACCTTCTCACCCCAATCCTAGTTTAGCTCTTGGGCAGGCTAAATTTTCCACACCCCTTTGAGGTCATATTTCACCTTTGAGAAGAAAATGAAATTTCCAAGCTGGGAGAAAGTGTTCAGGAGGCAGCTGGGTTGTGTGTGTGTGTGTGTGTGTGTGTGTGTGTGTGTATTGGGGGGTGGTGTATGTGTGGTGTGTGTGGCTTTGTGTGTATGTGTGTAGTGTGTGGTGTGTGTATGTACTGTGTGTGTGGTGTGTGTGTGGTGTGTCTATGTGTGTGGTGTGTGTGGTGTGTATGTGTGATGTGTGTCTATGTCTGGTGTGATGCATGGTGTGTGTGGTATGTGTGGTGCATGTGTGGTGTATGTATTGGTGTGTATGTGTGTGGTGTGGTGTGTATGTGTGGTGGTGTGGTGTATGTGGTATGTGTGGTGTGTGTGTGTATATGTGGTGAGTATGGGGTGCGTGGTGAGTGTGGGGTGTGTGGTGTGTGTGTGTATATGTGGTGAGTATGGGGTGTGTGGTGAGTGTGGGGTGTGTGGTGTGTGTGGTATGTGTGGTGTATGTGGTGTGTGTGTGGTGTGTGTGTGTGGTGTAATGCGTGTGTGGTGTGGAGTGTGTGGTGTGTGGAGTGTGTGTGGTGTGGTGTATGTGGTGTGTGTGTGGTGTGGGTGTGGTGTGTGGAGTGTGTGGTGTGTGGAGTGTGTGTGGTGTGGTGTATGTGGTGTGTGTGTGGTGTGGGTGTGGTGTGTGGAGTGTGTGTGTGGTGTGTGTATGTGGTGTGTGTGGTGTGTGTGGTGTGTGTGTGGTGTACATGTGTGGTGTGTGGAGTGTGCGCATGGTGTATGTGATGTGTTTGTGTGGGTGTGTCAGTGTGTGGTATGTGGTGCGTGTATGTGGTATGTCGTGTGTTATGTGTGGTGTGTGGAGTGTGTGTGTGCATTTGAGGGCGGGAGAGCGTTAGCGCCTGCCCATCTCTTTCAATCCCTGGGTGCTGCGGTCATCCTAGTGCTCAGCTAATTGACGGCGCAGCAGTGCAGTCTCCCTCTGGACTGGTACCGCAACCTTAGCAGTCAGTTGCCTAGTGGATGGTGAAGAGTCACCAAAGGAACTTTTTTCCAGAAAGTTCCTTTGGTGACGAAAAGCTCCAGAAGTGCTTCAGAGACGTAAAAGTGTGGAGGTGCGGAGGAGCTAAGGGAAGAAGAAATGGGAGCTGCCATAGAATGAGCAGAATTGATTCCAGGACATGGGATTGGGCAAAGGGAGAAGAAAAGAGAAAATTTAACACTTCCCTAAGGATGTTCGTCGCACTCCAAGCCTCCGCGGCGCTCCGCGTCCTGGCTGCCTCTCTCTTCTGGCCCCAGCGCTTGAGTGGCGCGCTGTCTCCTGCACCTGAGCAGGCTGCACCGCCCTAGAAGGGCGGAGGAAAGTCCGGGCGGACAGGCGATGGAGAGAGAGATGGCAAGCGCCGGACCGCGCGGAGAGGCTGCCTCGGAGATCCTGCCCTTGGAATGGGAGCGGAGGAGGAGAACTGCATTTCCCAGCCCTTTTCTCAGTGTGACTGGCCCTGGGTGTTCAAGGTTTCCCCGATCAGGGTCATGTTCCCTGGGCAGGGCGCCTAAGAAAACAAAATTAAAGAACCGGCAGCGCGGGCCAGGGGCTGGGAGCCCGGCAGTGAGGACCGCAGGAGAGAGACTCCCTCTCCCACACTGCGCACCTGTGCTTACAACTAGCCCGCTCACGACAGAGGCTGTAACAAGCTCGACTTTGGGCGTCGCACGGCCGCAGAGCTTATGAGTGGGTCGCTGGGACCTTGGGAACTTTCCCAAAGAGCGTCCGGTTTCCACCTTGGCTCACCAAGGCCTGGAAAGAAAGATGTGTGTGTCCCTTCCCAGGCCTTCCGGTTTCCACATGCCTGTGGGCGTCAGGGGTACCCTGCAAGCACATCTTGGGAAGTACAGGTGGCCCCCACCCACAAAGGCCTCGGAGAAGTAGAGAGGCAAATGAGGCCAGGGACTCGGAATCTTCTGGGCAGACAGGCCTGGAGTTCTCTGACCCCAAGTGCAGCTTCAGTCCTGGACATTCTTCCACTGATTGGGATGCAACAAATGCTGGTGCAGCAACCGCTTGGCTTTCAATGTCCCGTCTTTAGGACCTACGGTTCGGGCACTGGAAGTCTGGCCACCTGCCTGGACATCGTGGGACCAACTTGGCTTCATGTCTGCATGACACTGTGACCTCATTTTCTCCTCAGTTGTGAGTGACCTCAACTAGTTTAGCAGACGGGTGGAGTTTTATAAAATCCTAGAAACTCCCCTCTGAGAAGGTTCAGACGCAGGAGAGGGTTATGATATACCTCTGAAAGCTTGAAAATGCAGTATTAAAATAAAACATTTCTGAGTTTGCCTTGGCTGAAGGCAAAAGTAGCTTTGGGCACCCTTCCTCTACTACTTCCCGCCAAAATGGTCTTGTGGGCAGATTGAACAGCATAGCTACCCAGCCCGAAAGTGTCTGCCACTAACACACCTACCTGGATCGCCTGGACAGTAGCTCAGCCAAGGCTCGGCTTTCTTCCTGATCCTATGATTAAGTTAATGACCGTACAAAAGAAAACACAGGGGAGGCTCACCGAGTGCCTACTCGCGGCAAAGCGTCTACATGTACTCTTGAGAAAATATGATTCCAGCCTATAACTAAGTCAATTTCAAAAAGCAATATTTACCTTTTTCTAGACCTCATTTCATCCCTGTCTGAATCCTCAGTGGAAAGTAAAGCTGCTTTCCTGAAAAGGAGATTCCAGAAGGATCAGATAGAAAGGAAAAGGGCATTCAAGATTTTTTTTTTGAAAGGCCTAGGATAAGCTGTGTTTGTTTGCTTGTTTGTTTCTTTTTGAGAGATTTTTGCTCCAGAGATCTAGTGTCCCAGACATGGACAATTTAGTCTGCCTATCAGCCATTGCGATTTAAGGATCTGTTGATTCAATTTGCCTCCAAATTTGCCTTCAATTTGCTTCCTTACTTCTTGTCATCAAATATCCTTCACAATCTTGACCCTTCTCTAGAAAGACCTCTTTGTGTTCAGTTGGAGCCTGATTGACTCATCAGGGAAAAAAAAATATTTCCCAGTGCTAGAAGTGCTTTCAGAAAATAGTAGAACCTGCTTTGCTTATTTTACAGATGAGAAAACCAAGCTGCAAATAAATCAAATTATGTCAACAAAGATGCAGGGTCACACTAGTTGTGAATAGCAGAGGTAGAATTAGAATTTTGGACTGTTTTCACCACGTCTTGCTGGGGATTAGTGTTTCTGATCATCCACATGTTGCCTAGGAAAACTGAGAGCAGGCCTCAAAGAAATGTAGCAAAAAAAAAAAAGAAAGAAAGAAAGAAAAAAAAATTGCATGATCTTAAAGAACCCCACCTGCTTTTTTAGCAATCTAGGTCACATTCCCAATAGGTACATCATTTTGCTCTATACTTACTCTTAACCTGCTCCCTGCCCTAATCATAACTTGCTTTGTAGAGGTCCTAAAATAATGAAGGCTTTAATATCCTGTTAGGGAAAACCATTGCAAAGCCTGTAATGAGACCTTGTATACAACTTCCCATGTCAGACCTTTTCACAAGTATCCATCTTCCTATATAGGGGAGAGTCTTCAGGATGTGAAGAAAGGGGGGAAAAAATGACACAACTCCTGTGATAGCTAAACCACTGTAGTGCCTGTTTCCAGAGTGACTATGAAGATGCCTATGGATTAAGTGCATGCTATCCTAAGGCCTAAAGGATCATTGTTCATTTGGTTTTATGTCTAATGGTTACTGGTTGCATCACATACACCTAGACTTTGTACACTCAATATTTAACTAAGAATTATTATCAATATGTAAAGAGTACAGAAGTACTTTTCATAGAGGGAAGAGTAGAAAGAGGAGGGAAATTGTCAGGTTTTTCTGTATTATAACATTTCAGGACACTTTTTTTGCAGAGGCTATGCAGTTGTCAATGCCTTTATAAGGAAAGCTGGGCCTTGCAATACATAGACCATGATCAAACTATGGTCATTTCACCTTGGTTTTTAGGGAAACTCCCCCACAGGATCTCTAAATAGATTATGACAGAATGCCATTGTAATGACATTAGAGTACAAGATACCCTTCCATGTAGCCATCACTAGTAGAACCTAAAGTGGGCTTTTCATCTGGTCTCACAGATCCCAGCCTGAACATTGTTTGTCTCAGGCCATTTGTGAAGATACTAATTATCCTGCTGCTGAAAAGAATGCTGGTGTCCCAGTGACAGGTTAGCTGCATGGCAGGCATCTTTGTCTAAATGATTTGTCTTTGATCAAGAGGTGCAACACTTTCCAGCTAAATATTTTCGAAGTGATAATAAAAACTTACCTTCTTTTAGGCTCAAAATTGGCTTACAGTAAATAAATGCAAATGGTGCCAGGTTTATCATTCCTCTCTTATGCTGTTTCTTCCCTTCTTTTCAGGAATTCAGTGAAAATAAATGACATTTACTCAAAGTATAGTCCTTAGTTACAACAATAAAATTTAAAAACTTTCCAAATATTTGCTTTGAAGAAAATAGTCATTTATTGTCAAAGCATCCAACATACTCCGATAAACTATAAAGTTTAATAAATATTTCCAGGGATAAAAGAAACACATAACTATTCAGACTCCATTTCACTGGCACAAAATTACACTTTGTATTAAAAGGAGATACATATTTACATAATTGATGACATTCTTCATTGAAGTCCATAACCATTTCATTATACATGCACTTCCCCCTGGAAACTCAAATTGAATGGCGACCCCTTTTTATTCATTTTGTTTATTTTTGTAAGAACACAAACTATCATCAAGAAATGCAGAAAGCATCTCGCCCTCCTCCTTTACTTTATATCTAAAATAAATTTTGCCCTTACATACAATTATTACATCTAAATCGTAAGTGCTTAATAATTTAAGTAGAAACGTATGACAAATGCATCAATATGTTGCAATATATGACATTTTTAAAAATGTACCTTTGTTTTGGGGAAAGTGAAAATGCGTGCATTCAAAAGAAAACCCCCTCAAACAACCCACCCAATCAAAAATCCACCATCCTGGCTCGTGTGTGTGTGTGTGTGTGTGTGTGTGTGTGTGTGTGTGTCTGTGTGTGTGTGGGTGGGTGTGTGTGTCCCGGGTAAATAGTTGAATGAAGTTCCCGGAAGAGGAGGACGTGTGTGCGCGTTGGGGGGGAGTGGTGAATGTATGTGTCTTTGTGCAGTGTTTCGGGGTGCAAGGAAGCGGTGGATGTTCTCGCGTGTTTATTCCTGCAGGTGGCTTGACTGTGCGTGCGCGCGCGCGGAAAGCTGGGGTCCTTTCCGAGTCAATTATGCGAGGTCATGTGCCTGGAGAGGTGGTGGCGCTCCCTGAAGGACTCATTGCAGATGGGGCACTTGAGTTTCTCCTCTCGCCGACGCTTCACCAAGGGCTCCATCGCATACTCCTTTTTGTGGTGCGACCTCATGTGGTACACCAGGTCGGAGGTCATGCGGAAGGAGGCGTTGCACTTGGCACACCAGTTCTGCGCGGGCAGACACAGCGAGGTGAAGGAGGGCGGCAGCAGCGTGAGCGCCGAGGGCAGCTGCAGCTGCAAAGGCCCCGCGGCCGCCGCAGCAGCTGCGGCTGCAGCGGCAGCGGAACTCTTGGGCCAGAACGCGGTGGCGTACAGGAAGGGGCTCTGCTTAGGTAGGCCCCCGCCGCCGCTAGGCAGGGACCCGCAACCTCCGTTCAGGTCCGCGGCCCCCTGGAGCTTCACCGCTAGAGGGTCCGCGGCGGCGGGGTAGAGTCTGGTGGGGCCCACGCCGTCGGCGGGGTGGCATGGCTCGAGCGCGCCCAGCTTCTGGCCCAGCACCAGCGGGGACAGCTGCGAGAAGGAGCGTGCTGGCTGTGAGAAGGCGCTTTTGCGCTCGTCCGACGGGGCGCCCTGGCCCCCGCCCGCGCCGCCCGCGGCCCCGGCGCCCGTGCCGCCCCCACCGCCCGTGCTGCCCGCGCTGCCCAGCTGCGGCACCGAAGTGAAGGCGCTGCCCCTCGCAGGACTGCCGCCCTCGAGCCGGCTGGGCAGCGGGCCCCCGGGCCGCGGGGCCAGCAGCTTCTCGGCGCCTACCGGCGACGCGGCCGCGGGTGTGGAGGAGCCGCCGCCGCCGCCAGCGTCCTGGTCCTCGGAGGCGACGCCCCCGCCGTCGGCGGTCCCCTCCTCCTGCAGGCCGGCCGCGCGGGTCGCCTTCTTCACCTCCACGAAGGCGCTGCGCTTCGCCTCGCCCGTCTCGGGACTGGGCGGCGCGAAGAGGCGGCCGTTCTCTTCCAGGCCGAAGTAGCTGCCCGAGGCTCGGTACTGCTGCGGTGTGCACACCAGATCCTCCTTGGAGGCCGGGAGGGGCCGCTCTGCGAAGCGGCCCCGGCTGCCTACCAGACCCGCGCCACCGCCGCCCTCCGCCGCCTCCTCCGGGAATTTCCTCTTTCCTTTGCCGCCGCCCGTGGCGATGCCGTCGGGACTCAGCTCCGCCTCCTGGTGGCCGCCGCCGCCGCCGCTGCCGCTACCACTGCTGAGGCTCTGGGCTGGGGAGCAGCTGCTGCCTCCCCGGGAGTTTTCCAGCTCCCTGGCCAGGTTGTGGAAGTCTGTGGATGGTTTCGCGCTGCTGCCGCCGGCGGCAGCGGGTGGGTTGCTGCTTTCGGGGGAGGGGGTTGGGTAGTGGTGGAGGGGACCGGCTTTGCAAAACTTGGGACCCGGGCCTAAAGGTGCCTCCTGCTGCTGCTGCTGGTCTTTGCCACCGCCGCCGCCGCCGCCCCCGTGGTCCTTGGTGCCCACGCCGCCGCCTTGCTCGTCTTGGGGACTTATATCAGCGCTGTGAAGTCTCTTGGGGCAGCGGAAACGCAGATGCGCCACATAGGGGAACTCAAACTGGAAACGTTGGCTGCATTCCAGGCATGTGTAAGGGGACGACCCTGCTTAGTGAGCAAACACCACACACACACGCACGCGCGCGCACACACACACACACGCACACCACATGATTACTCAGCATCGCCCCCAAGCCAGTTTGCCACCATCCCCTTGACAAATCCACCTTCATTTCTCAGGGCCTGAGTGCCTGAGAAAAGAATGACCAACCTGATCTAACTTTCCCTCCTGATTTGGGGGGAATACAGCAAACAAGTCAAGTTTCCTTGCTTTATCTTCACCTATCTGTTTAGCTTCATTCCGAACTATATCTCAGAATCTTCCTATGAGACACCCAAAGGGAAGAAAGACGCGCCAACGCGCCGGGTGAGCCCCTGCCGCTCCCTGCGTCTCTCCCCCGCTAGTTAAGGGCCCACACGCCGGTCGCGAGCCAACCTACCATTCATTTTGTTGTGGGATCTAGAGGGGCAGAGCAAGAGTAACTCAGTCAGTTCTTTCCCGTACCAAACTAGTAACTCCTCGTCTTTGGCAATCCTGCGAAGAGAGCGGTAAAACAGCTGTCCGTTTTTTATATAGGCTTCAAGGTTCTGCTCTTCCTTATCTCTGGCCGACTGGACCAACCGCAGCCACATGAGACCTTCTGAGGAACCATTTGCTGCTGAGGTGTCTACCTGCGGTTTGAAATAGATGAAAAAAGACAAGAAGGAGAGGGGAGAGGGACCCTCATGAGAGAATGAAATCAGAAGAATCAAGACCATTTCTTCTATGTTATTCTTTTCCAAAAATTATCTGAGACCACGCTTCCAAAAATTTGGCCCAAGCTGGGACCTGTCCTCATGTTTGTAACCAGTAGGCAAGATAACCATCTTTTGAAACACTGCATCAATCATACAGATCATTTAAGTCACCGTTTTTATATATTGGTTGAATACTAAATGAGGAAATTTCTTCTTAGAATTTAGTGTTAACGTCTTGAGAGTTTACTTCTAAGTTATCCCACATTACAAAGGTATGGAGAATTTTGTTTGTTTCAGAAATAAAGCAAGCTTAAATCTTAGAAATTACGCTATGGCAATCATGTTCCAAATCCTGGCTCGAACAATTAATAGCTTTTCTTTGTAAAGAAGAATAGGAAATGAGAGGCCTTTTATCTTCCAATTCAGACATATGGATTTAATGATGCTTTACTATCAAAACCATTAACATTTTTACTTAAATACAAACTCTGGGCACTAGCTAATATTACCAAAGAAACTAATATTTAGGGGATGAAGTAGCCTCCTCAAATGGAAGGCAAATGTACCCAATACTTGTCAAAGAACTTGCAGAAACTAGTTAGTATGCAAATAGCCTCCGCCCCAGTGAAATCTCCCAGAGTTTAGGATAAACCAGATAAACCAGAACTGAAGCACTGATTTAGATATTTCTAACATTCCAAATCAAATTTTGTCATTTATTGCAAAAAATCAGTTGACAATAATTTGAGTTTAATTTTCCTTTTCTAATTTTTGATGTGTGAAATGGATTGCTTGCTTTATTGCATTTTCCACAGGCAAAACCTATCTCCACTTGTCATTAGAATTATTTTTAGTCCATTTGCAACAGGACATTACCCTCATACACCTACACAGCTCCAGTGGAGACTTACCCGAAAGATATAAGGTACTGTTCTCTTGTCAGTAGACTTGAGAGCTATGAAAGCTATGCTGTCATATAGGGAAGTATGGCTCAGGACACAGGGACCAAATATAGCATTCTCAGGGATGTCGCAGGTGGTGTAAACGCTGGTAAAAATATCTGTCAGACATTGTTGGACAGCCTTGGCATCTCCATCCCAGATGCCTCGCTGGATGCCTGTATCCTCCATCACTGGAGATAGACACACAGCACAAGAAAGTGAGTTACAATACTGCTTCTACTGCCATTAACCTAGGCAGAACTGTTCAAATACTAGGCAGATTTTCCTTGCACCTGCCTGATTTTTGCATAGCTCTTATTTCAAAATTATAGGAGATAAACATGGCATATTTTAAAGATGAAAACTAAGAGATACTTGTTAAAATAATTAGAATAGTGGGAAATCTGGAGCTGACTGCTTAGAAGAAAGAAAAGAAAGGGCTGGAAAGACTAGATCATTTTTGCATTACCTTGATGTTGGATTGGGTAGGTTTTGGAGGTGAAGTTCAAGGCAGAATATATATTATATATATATTATATTTATATATTATATATATATTTATATATTATACACACACACGCACATATATTTTAACCAGCCTATAGACTTCCCTTACTGAAAGAAACTTCTAACCCTTGGGGAAAAGTGCCTCTGCCTATGTATTGAACTGGGTGCCCGGGAGCTGATTTTTTCCTTTTCTTCCAAAGAGGGGAGCAGCGTTAGTGAGCAGGCGGAGACAGCGGAGCATGGCGAATGGATTTCAAGTGGAGTGTCAGGGCCACTAATTCTGTGTCAGCTAACCTTTCTCTGCAGCCTACAAGAAGGGACGTATGTCTGCTCATTACCATAATCCAACACTGTTCCTCTGAGGCTTTAATTAAAAGCAGCAAGCAGAGGTAATTTTTTTTCTGGACATGCTTATTTATGGATGAGAGTGAATCCCGGTTACCTTGTTATACAAGGGGGTGGATTGAGTCACATGTAGCTCATGAAGTGAGCAGGTACAGGACAGGCCTAAAGTGTCCCCAGTCTGAAATACTGTGTGTAATGACTGGTAAATTTTCACTCCCCCTACCCCATATGACCCTTTTTGGGCAAGAGGGGGCAGCCCTCCTTGAGCACTCCTCAGTGGGCTCTCCAGCTGTTTAATCCACAGCAATTTAGAAAGTAATGCCCCAATGGAGGGTTCTCTATTAAGCTGTCATAAAGGGACATTTTCCTTCCTCTGGACACCCCATACAAGACTTATCATTAAAAAAAAGAAAAAAGAAAAAAAGAAACAGGTGTTTAAATTTTTTAACTAGCTTTGGACTAGCTGCATTGCTTAGTATTTCAAACTAATCAAAAGATTCCTCCAAGTTTGTTGTTCCCTGATAATGTCACCGTTGGCAATTATTTATGTATGTTTTGTATAATTAAAGTAACAGGAAAGAGTAGATCTAATTCTTTTCCTGCAAAGCTGTTCATTATGGAATAATATCAGTGACGTCTGTTTTTATTTTAATTTATATTAACCAATTAACCTTACACCTGTGACTACAAGGTGTGCTTTTTCCCCCCCATTCCAGCTAACATAGCCTAAAACTTTGGTTCGTCTCATTTTCCATTCATCCTCTTGCATCCCCCAAATGTCAAGTGTTGGGCTGTATCTACCAGACAGCAGAAATAAGGGAAAATATCCATAAAGAAGAAACTTTATTATTCTACATCATCTATCCCTGGACATTTTTACCCCATACAAGGTAGACATCCTGATTTTTCATTTCAAATTAAAATACATTTTAAAAAACCCATAACCTCTCATCTCATTTTCAACGGAATCCTATTCTCCTCTTTTCAATTTCCTTCAATTCAGCGTTTTATGCCCCAATTTCTCTCTTCCTTTTAAAAATCTCTTTCACACAAGCATTTCATTGTGCTGGGAGGTCGCCCCCGTCACTTCGGGCAACAGCAGGGACACAGTCATTAAAATGCAGTTCTACCTAACAATACGGTGAAAAGGTCCTCACTCCGCCGCGCTAATAGCGGTCGGAGTCGCCGCGCCAGCCGCCACGAGCCTCAAGCCCATCACAATAACTGCTGGGCAAGAGCCTAGGAGCGCCCGCCCGCGTGCGGTCGCCTTTGCCACCCAACGTTTCACAGCTCCGTGCCCCGCTCTGGGCCCAGGTTCTTATCCGCCTGCCCTGGGAATATGCCCCAGAGCCGGCGGGGCTTTCTGAAAGCCGGTCGCTGCTGCCCGCCGCTAGCCCGTCCCTCTAGTCAGGCATTGTCTGGCGGCCGCGCGCTCCCCAGTCCCTGGCTTCTCCGGCAAAGTGCTCCCCACCCGCTCCTCCTTTTGTACAATATTCCTGGCAGTAGAGAGCCCCTCAAGAATTATTTTTCTCTCTCTTCTGGATAATAAGGAGACGGAAGACAAAATTTTCTACTCTTTCCACCAAACTGCCTTCCTCCCATCCCCCTCCCACATCAATGCAAATAGACTTACCAGGAATAAGGTCAGTATAGACTCTACCAAATAAGGCCACCTGGAACCCGGAAGATGCAATCGAGTGTTTCTTTTTGCCTATTGTATCAGTGTATTTCCATGTCAAGAGGTGTTGGTGTTGCCGTCTTTTAGGCTTTTCCTAAAGAGATAAGAGAGAGATGGAGAGATGGGGAGAAAAAGATTGGGGGGTGGAGGGAGGCAGGGAGAGAGAGAGAGAGAGGGAGACGGAGAAACGGAGAGAGTTGTACAGATGGACCCGATGCAGTGACTGACTGGCACGCAGACACACACTTTTTGTTTGCTGCACATAATCTGCCCAATGACGCGTGACAGCCCACGTCCCCTCCCTTTAACTCTTTGCTGGGCCAGGAGCTCCCTCCGGCGCCGCCTGCCTCGCAGCTTTTTCCCCCGGCCTGCCCGCGCCCCGCAGATCATGAGCGCCTACCCCGGGTGGCAACGCCTCTCAGAGAGCGTCCCGGCCCGCCTCTTCCTAAAGCTCGGGCCCTCTGGGACGGCTAGGAGGGGAAAATCGTTTCAGGATTGGAAAGGAAGGTACCAAAAGGATTGGAGAGGGCCTTTCCCCGTTTCACTAGGCACTTGGAGAAGCTATGACAGAGAGCTGGACACCCAGCGCGTGCGGACCCCGAGCGTATTTCCCCGGAGTCCACGTTCCGTGAAAGGGAGAGGGGTGCGGTTAGCCCCAGGGATACTCTAGCCCTGGAGCCACCGCTGATTTGCGCCGCTAGTTGCCTGAGGTTGATAAAGGGGCGTCGTCTCTCTTCAGGAGCACCAACACTACCAAGCTTCCCCCTGCAAAATTCAGAAAGGATGCGCTTTGGTAAGAACTTGACTCAGCCTTCCCATGGCTCGGGAGATGAGGTTGGAGTGAGAATGTCACCAGACCTCGGAAGGGGACATAACGGTACCTCCCAGTCCCAGGACACGGGTACGTGGGCGGAGGTGGGGTGCCGGAGGTTGGTGGGAAGAGCGCAGGTTAGTGGACTCAAACAGTTCCTGTTTTTTTTGTTTGTTTGTTTGTGTTTTTTTTTTGCCCTCTGCTTCGTGCAGAATCTGCACAGCCCCAGAGGGAGTCCTATAATGGGTGCTGTTGGCACTCTGAGGTCTTGGGGTTGCGAGGCAAGGGTGATTCAAAATAAAAATGATTATCAAGATGGGCTCCGGAAAGCTTTTCGCATCCAGCGGGTGGTGGAGGAGGGGATGGAGTTGCCAAGGCCGTCTCGGGAGCCTCGTTTGTGCGCTAAGCCACTTAGAGGCGCTGACTTGCCCCTTTAGTGCAGCAGCTGATGCTAATGACTTGAGGTCTTTAACAGCCTGCAAGTTGACTCCTTCAACGGGGCTGCAACACCATTTCGCTGGGGGATCTCGGGCTTCTTTTTCACAGTTCAATTCTCTACTCCTAAGGGAAGAAAGGCCTTTGAGTGGTATAGATTGTTTCTCAACTTCTTCAGCCCCACCCACACCACCACTACTTTGAAGTGGGCAATCTGTCAGCATTAGGATAAATCGGATTGTGCAGCTGGCTAAAGTGGAGGAGGTACAACCACAACTTAAGGAGATAGCCTCCTTGGTGTTGTTTTTCCTTGTTGTTGTTGTTGAAATAATGTATTTGGGGAGTTGGCAAAAAGCAGCTTACCATGTTAGTTTGATCCTCTCCCAGCTTTGAGACCCTTCTCTGGAACTCAGTGGAGTATGGAGGCTTGGACAGCCTGGTGACTGCAGTCCCAGGAGGCCAGGGGAGGATTTTCCTGAGGAGAAACAAGTGCAAGGACTTTCCCATGAAGTTCATTTTCTTCCTTGTTCTCCCTCTCTCTCTCTCCCCCTCCCGCCCCTGTGTGTGTGTGTGTGTGTGTGTTTCCTTCTCTTTTCTGGTCAGTACCCCATGCAAGTTCTGAATTGCTGCCTAGAACTAAGCTGAAATTCACAGAAGGAAGGGCTGTCAAATCCCCATATTTTGAGAGAAAGTGGGGGAATTCCTTAGTTTTCAGGTTAGCTACTGACTTTTCAAAGAAAGCTTCTTGAAGTGCAGTTTTACGTACTTTGGCTATGTGCAATTTTATGTACTTCAGCTAAGGGTGACTCCTAATGATCAAGGCTTAGTGCAATGAGGGCTCTCTTACATGTCTGTATATAAGAATCTGCAGCTGTACTGAGCTACCAATTGTCTTATAACTGATTGCTCCACTGAATACTAGATTCACTTCTTTCTCTCTCTCTCTCTCTCCACACACACACACACACACACACACACACACACACACACAAAAGCATGGACACACTGTCCCCTAATACTTCTTTAAAGAATGGGTGGAAGAATTAGAAATGTGAAAATAATGTCTCAAACATCTGGAAAATAAACCTCAGGTTTGAAGAATAGTGGCCAGAAACTAAGTTAATTCCGAGTAGAAGAAAGAAGAAAAGTAAAGGGCAGAAGAGGCATGGTTGTAAACAACTTCCAGTTAATAAAGAAAAGTAGCCATAAGAGAGTCATGCGGTCCCTTAGAAACTACAGACTGATAAATGCAATATGGTGTGTGAGGAATGGTGTTTAAGAACATAATTTCATTAATCTGTTGAACAGAACACTCCTTAGTGCTTTCTTTTGCTGTTATTTAGAGCATTGGAAGTTTATCTTTCAGGAAAAGTCATCTGTCCATGCAAAGCATTAAAAAATTACCTTACATATTGTAAATATATAAGCCTCTACTCCAGAATGTGGACATTTAGAAAATAAACTCTAAATGGAAGGCATTTTTCTTGTGCCTGGCCTTTCTCTTATTAGATATAGAGACCATTTAAACTATGTTTCTTTTGAGGTACTAAAACCTTGACTCCAGTTTGTATAAAATAATGTTTTTGATACTTAAGTTCAGGGTGGAACAGCTTGACCTTTTTAAGTCTCAAGCTAGAAAACAGCGACGATTTTATACATCTGAGAAGGGAGTGATTTATTGAGAAACTGGCCAACAGATGCTTCATTTCAGTTTTACTTTTTTAACCTCTAATTAATGTTTTTCCTACTGCTTTCAGATAAAGATCCTTAAATATCAGAATTTCTCACATTTTATGAATCTGACCTACCCTTCTTATTATGAGTTAAATAACTGACATAACAAAACAATATAAGTAAGATTAAATCAAAGTTCTTACTTGGAGAGTTTTCTAGTAATTTAAGTGGTACACATTTTGTCCTAAATGACAATCATTAATAGGGGATAAAGAAAATCTACAAATTATTTTTTTTCCTGTAGAAATTTATGGGCTAAAATGGTACATAAACTACTTTGAAATCACTCTGCATTAATACTTACTGGAATTCACTGATACTAAATGAAGGGTTGAGGCATTTATTCAGCCTCAGACAGTACTATAAAAATGTACCTAGTCAACAGTTTTATGTAATTCACATGGAACAATGGGTTTATGCATATATTTGGAGCTCTCTTCCCTAGGATTTTATTTCCAATTAAGTAATTAGAAGAATGACAATGAAGAGTGGGCATGCTCACCTTGTTCCACTTTAGCAAGGCTCTTTGGAGTCCTGGCAAAAATACACATGTAGGAAACTGTAGTGTTATTTTGGAAGAGTGGGCTGGAGAGAGGTTGATAAATGATACCCGAGGTGCCTTTTATGACCAAAGTGAGAGGGTGGAGGAAGGGTAAGAAAGGGAATTTTAATTCTTAGTGAGTATTAGAATGGGAATACCCTTTTTCTTCCCAGGGTTGAAAAATGGAGCCCAAAATATTTCAACTTCTTTGATAAGAGGCAGGTAACATCTCCAAGAATAATTCACACAAAGATTATTATCCTATGAGAATGAAAACATACTGATTTTCTTTTTCTATATCTTTCTAGGTTCTGGCTTACCCACCTCTAACTCTATTGCCAAAGCACTACGCCAGCAAAGGCTTGATTGTCAAAAGAGTATGGCAATTCATGGTGAAAGGGGGGAAAAAAACCCACACACTGGAAGATAAGAGGATGCTAATGGAGCAGACAGTGGCAGCTCCTTCCTAAGCTTATTAATTTCCCACAGGGAGGTCTCTGGAAGGGGCTTTGAGGGTTGAGGGAGGCAGAGAATAGATCTTCAAGGAGGAGAATTGCATTACCTAGCCTCACCATTCAAAATAAGGAACTTTTTAGGGGATAAACCTTATTGACTACTTGTACATGAAAGAGAAACAGAAATGATGGGCTGGTCAATTAAGAAAAACACCAGGCCTGTGCAAAAAATGTTGTTCAGAGGGTTGTTAACTCATTTTCTACCACTTTGCCTTTATCAAGAGAATGATACATGGTGGGTTTTTTAAAAAGACCCAGAGGAGTTTGTTTGTTTGTTTGTTTGTTTTACATCTTGGTGAGAAGAGGCATGCTTCTGAGTTGGATAAACAATGATGTGAAGGAGTGGGATGTGGGGAGGGGTACTTGTTTTTTATAAGTATACACTGCAAACTCAGTTTGGGTCTGTTCCTCACACTAAGTATTGTAGTTGGCTCACTGGGTATTACATAAGCAAATGTTTTCCAGGCTGACCCTGGGAAAGCCAGAGACTTAAGAGTTGGGTAATTTTGTAGCCTGTGAGGAAGGACTTCAGGATCCCAACTGTAGGGATCATTACTCCTGACTCACACTTTTCTCTCTTGGGCTTTTCCTCATAAATAGTCCAGCTTTAAATCCTGCTGCTCCTGTAGCTACTACTACCACCATTATCATTACAATGATAATCTACCTTTCTCAAGTTTAAAACTTTCTCTCTGAGTGTTCCCAAGTTTTACTTACACTTCTGTTGGAGTTCAGCTGAGAATGGGATAGTCTTTGAAAGCTATATGTTACTCTCTTCCTCTCCTGGATCTGGGTTGTAGTCAACTGGCTTAATGGCCTCTGACTATGACTTTTAGATGGGCTAGCAAACCGAAGTGACATTGTGCAAAACTACCAAGAGATATGAAATAAGTGCCTCATACTCATCTGTGTGAGTGTGACCTCTGAACCAAATCCAATATCCACTATTTTGACCCCCTGGATTCTCCCAACTTCTATACTTCTCCCAAGATGAGTGTATAATGATCTGGCAAGAAAAGACCTGGATTTTTGTCAAATCCATAGGTTCCAAAGTCCTTCCTAGACTCAGACACCACACCATTTGAATGCATCTCAGTGTGAGGGGGGTTGACTGGTTGTAGCCACGTCTCCATCAGTCACTCTGAACCTCCTTACCCTCTGGGTCAGGGTTTTTAGGCAGACTGGGGATCAGGGGATGTCTAGCAGTCTCAAATTGGTGTCCAGCAGTCTCAAATGAGAATTTGAGAAGTCTAACTCTAGGCCTTGGGAATGTGACAACATTGAGAGGCTCTACATCAAATTTCTTCACACAGCCAGGAGAATGGACATCATCCCAAGATTCAGTAACTCTGTGCCACCCTTTTCCTCTCTGTTTTAGGTGGATTGTAATTCCTGAGTTAAATAAACAGGCAATGATAGACACACAGCATATATATCCTGGGCAGAATACACTTCTTGGCATCTAATCCCAGTTAGCTTTCTGAGGCACGGACAGTGAGAATTTGGGCTGCTGGGGAAAAAGCAGCAGAAAGCATGGCTCTTCTGGGAAAGGGGTCTAGGCAGGGGACACAAATGTCCAGTACTTGGAATAAACCCATGGTACACTTTCCTGAGGCCCAAAGAGAGAGAGGTTTCATTTTCTCAAGGAAGAGAGAAGCAAGACAAAGAAAGTAAAAAGAAAGGAAGAAAGAGACAGACAGAGAGGATTTGAGAAGTATATACCAGTTAGGAGCCACAATAGTGATGATTCACATTGTATTAAAAAGTCTTGGAAATATGGTTCAATTTCTTCACAAATTATCCTCCCGAACGGCTCCCTTGCTCATATTGCCAACTGAACTCTGAGTGAAAACTGTATGATTTCAGTTCAATTAATCCCAGGTGTTCTATGATTTAATCCAGGGATATTAATTTAGCATCAATGGGGGATGTCTCCCAAAACATTATATGAAAAGCTGTTAGTTCTCAGAAGATTTTCACAAACACTTGAAAGCTACCAATGTCAGTCTTTCCTCACTGCTAATACTTGGAAACGTGGTCTCCTAAAAAAAAATCAAAGATCAACATGTCACAAATGCAGCAACATCATGACTACTATAAACACTTCTGGACTTACATTATGAAGTGGAGGCAAGAATAGGCAAGGATTGCAACATATGTGTTCTCTTTAACTTGAGAGCGAAAAGCTGCCTCCCAGGCTGATGTGATAGTATCTGTAATGTAATATAGTAACCATGATATTATTCATAATCTCCTTTTAAGGAAGTTTAAATGAAAACTCATATTTTTAAAAGAAATAATACCCAGAATTGCTAAATAAAACACTCATAAATTCCTAAGAATAAACATGTTGAATATAATGACCTAGATGGTGAGATTTGCTAGGCCTAGAATTTAACTTAGGCCTGAATAACTTTATACCTGAGCAGAAATGGTCCTCTATGCATATATGGGTATGGGTGTGTGTTTAAGAAGGTTGGGGTGAATGTTGTCAAAGGCATCAATTAAAAATAAGTTGTAGGACTGTCATTTTACTTGGATGCTTGTCCATTAAGAAGCCAGTTCTCTTTTTTGGATGTTTTCATGTAAGATGGTATCGAGAAAATAGTTTGTGTGAAATCATTCAGGACAGCAGTTGGTCCCAAGGGAGCAAATTGAATAGAGTTGTAAAGAATATATCCTGAG